AGAATTATTGAATAAACATTAAAGTAGGCAATACTGATCTTCTGATCTATTTGATGACTACAACACAAGTGAGTGACGTTAGTATGTTTCTACAATTGCCATGACATCTATGTTCTGTAATGTCACAATCTTTTCTAAACACTCCAAAGATAGATCTAATGAATTGACACTTAAACCGCACAAATGAGTGTGAATATTTTCATTATGTTATTTTCTTATTCTGCGAGAAAAAACATGAAAAACTCTAGGCTGTTTGCTATTCCTTTTTGAAAGTTTCTCTGATTAGAGTGATGATCACCTTAAATTAAGTGGCATATTACTCAAATATAAGTTAATATAAAGTTGAAATCTAGTTTTGCAATATTATCTTGATTATTTGACACATTACTTAGCATTAAGTATCCAGTGGGAGATAATTTAATTTATATTCATCGTCTAATGTTTCTGTGATCTTCTTAAAATCTTTTGATTGAAAACTACTAATTTCTTATACAAGCTACTAGTATGTGGTTGTAGTTTTCTTGGTCAGTAACATTTCCTCAAAAGCTGAGAAATTCAATTCCTCAGAGTAATACCAATGTCGAAACAGAAACATGGCTTCATTTGTTAGAAACAGAAACATGTTTTTCTTTCTTTTGATACTGCCCAGTTGTCTACTTCATTTCAGTTCTTGAACTAACAGTTCTTTGACATAATTGCAGCGTAACTATCGATACTTCTTCATGTTNTAATTTAATTTATATTCATCGTCTAATGTTTCCGTGATCTTCTTAAAATCTTTTGATTGAAAACTACTATTTCTTATACAAGCTACTAGTATGTGGTTGTAGTTTTCTTGGTCAGTAACATTTCCTCAAAAGCTGAGAAATTCAATTCCTCAGAGTAATACCAATGTCGAAACAGAAACATGGCTTCATTTGTTAGAAACAGAAACATGTTTTTCTTTCTTTTGATACTGCCCAGTTGTCTACTTCATTTCAGTTCTTGAACTAACAGTTCTTTGACATAATTGCAGCGTAACTATCGATACTTCTTCATGTTCATTTTGACATCAACCATTTTGTGCCTATACGTCTTCGTGTTCACTTGTATCAGTGTTTCCCAGCAAAATGTTTGGAGGACAATATCACATGATTATTTAGCAGATTTTCTGATGATATACTGCTTTATAGCTGTTTGGTTTGTTGGTGGCCTCACAACTTTCCATTTCTATCTCATTTGTACAAACCAGGTGATTATTTTACTTCACAAAAATATGAAACAGTTCATAACCATTTCTTATTCAATGGTTGCTAATTTTTTTAGCATCAAATCACTAACAGGAACATATAATTTAGCTGGATTTATTGAAGAGAAATTGTTTGGTACAAAAAAAGAAAACTAAAATTTAGGAACTTTAATTAATGTTTAAGTAGCACACTGGTTTTGGTTCAACAAAAGTTTAAAAATGACTGAAATGATCAAAGTTTTATGCTTTCATTTTCTAAGAGGATGGCAAATGGAGAAAAGGTGAGACAATAACAGAACACTAGGTATTGTAGCTGAATTTGAAATATGTACTTAGCTAAAAAGCTGCTATATATTTATAAAGTTTGACTTTATTTTTCCGTTATTCATAGAAACAATAATTTTTTGGACGTTGTGCTAGCTATGGATGATGAAGTATCATTGATGATATTGGGATATTTAGTTGACATCTTCGGTAGCTTAATAAATCATAGTAATAGTTTGCACAAGTAAGATTGGCTTAAATCAAATTAAATAACAGATTGTGTAGCCATTCAAGACGTCCTTTCCTGGCAACTTGATGAACTTACTTTTGTTTTCTCTGTTGCAGAGAAGGTAGGTAAAAAAATTTCGGTCTCCAATCTCATACTATTTTTTCTAATGTCATGTTCATTCAGGCTTGAGGTTCTGCTCAGGTTTAACGCTTTCATCGTGTTGAGTTTGGCCATTAATATAACTTCGTTTTCTTTCAGTAAATGTACATTGATTTTCAGGGTACTCAAATAATTTACTTATATTTTAATGTTCAAGATAGCTTCTTTTTCTTTCTATTTGGAAGTGACTCTGCTGACTCGAGTTGAGTTTAATAAGAAGCTTACTGGGAAACTTGTCTGCAACGTTCTTCAGGGACTTGTCCATATGGCCAATATTTTGATCCATTGTTTGCTTAGATTTAGATTGTTGTTTATTGGTTGAAGATTGTAAAGGATAAAGGATAAAGCTTTTTGCTTTCTGCTTCTGGTTTTAACTATTGTTTTAGTGGGTAGCTGTTGTACAGTTGGTGAATTGCTTGTTGATCAAACACTATAAATAGTTTGATCTCTCTTTCTAATAGAAGTAGATTTGATTCCTTTTTAACTTCTGATAATCAATGATTTTTGTCTTGTGTGTTAAACTTTCTTTTCTCATTTTCAATCGTTATCCATAACCTTTACATATAATTTGTTGATTTTGTTGTCTTGCAGACAACTTATGAGAACTTCCGATATCAGTATGACAAAAAAGGCAACCCATTCAATAGGGGATCATGCAGAAATATCAATGAAACACTTTGTTCCAGCATTCCTCGTTCGAAGAATAACTTCCGAGGATTTGTTGTGGAGGATGAACACATGATGGTGGGATCGCTGACTCCAAACAATGCGGATGGAATTTTGACCCCAAAGGAGAAAATTGACCTTGAAATGGGATCTATGCGTGCAGAAGATGGTCGTTTACCTATTCCTGAACTTCTGCGAAATTTTGATTTTGATAATTTTGATGATGACATAAAGTTTGCAGATGAGGGGCAGCGGTCTTTCGATCCGTTCTACAGCATCGAGGATGATGCAAAAGGCTCGGCACGAACATCCAACGCAACGGTTTTGAATTTCCAAAGCATAAGTGAAGATGAAATGGAAGAGTATGTGCAAAGCTCCCATGCTGGAGGAAGAGCCAGAGAGTCTGCTCAAAGACACACTACTTCTGATGGAACCTACACAAATAAGGAAACTAATAGCAGGAATCACCCACATTAAGCCACAATGCCAGCTTTTAGTTTTTATGCATAGAGGTTGTCTTCTCACTCTTCATCCTTGTTTTTTCTGGAAAATTTTGGGATGCTCATGGATGAGATGTTCCTTAAGCTTGATCCTTTTCAAAAGTGTATATTCTGACATGAGATTAAGTAAGGTGGTCCTAAAACCATACTTAAATTCAGTTAAAATGTATTTCTTATGAAGTAATTCCTGTGGAGTTGTTCCAATTTAACCAATGATTTCAAGTTTGAGTCCTGAGCATGCAACTGTGCTGAATAATACTTTGAGAAAGGGTGGGGATTATGCTGTCTGTAATGTTCTCACCTGATTCAAACAGGATTGTCTCTAATGAAGGATACTGTGGTTTTGTACAAAAAGAGAAAGTGATTTTAGTTTCACTATTAAGACATTTCCTTCCTTGCTGGCCTTTGTTTCAGGTTTGCTGCCGGTCCTCTGATTGCTTGTGTGCCTTGAAGTAAACACTGAGGATGGTTTGGTTCCTTCCATCCACACTTGCAGCAATTTGTGGTTTTGTAAGAATTTTCAATATGCTGACTCATGCAAGTTCTTTGATGCTATTCATGCTGGAAATGGGGAGATTGAGCTTGCACTTCTCTCTCATTTTAGCATAAAAGTGTGGCAAGTGTTTGTTGTAAGCTGTAAATGCCACTTGCATTCAAAATAATGCAGAAAGATTGTCTGGCTAAGTTTATGATAGGTGCTCCTGGTGTGCCTATCTCTTCCACTCAATCCTCTGTCAAGATCTCTACATCGGATCATTTTTTATTTACTCTAGAAATTTAGATTTTCTGTAAGTAGTGCACTAATTTCATTTTGTAACAATTATGTTTTTCTCTCCTTAGGTCATCGCTAGATAGGTTTCAATGCCATTGAATTAACAAACTTAAAATATGTCATCCAAAAACTTTTTTTGAGGGAACCTCCAACTTAATTAAAATTAAATCTAGGATCAGAAAAGGGAAAAGACACTTCAGTTTCACTCAACTCAGCTCACATTGAATTTTATTAAACCCACAAAATACTTATTTTTGGCTTAGTCAACTTATTTTTTTATGAAATGTATTATCAAACTCTTGAATACTTTTATTATTTACTAAAATTTATTGAAAGTCACAACACAAGCTTTTTAGGAATATCACTTATTTAATAAATTAATTTATGATTTTTTATAAATTTTAGCTAATGTTAGAGTAGTTACCCCTCCTATATAGAAGATGGAGAGTTAGAAGTAAGTAAAAGTGTGCACTGCTATTTTGCTCAGAGTATTTTCTTTTTCTAGATTTTCTAAAACTATATCTACATTTTATAATGTTTACCCCATTACCATATTCTCTATTATTATGTACTTAAAATACAACGTGCTTAAAATAAAGGGAATGTTTGTGTAAAATTTTGAATGGAAGTATAACATGAGGAAACATATATTGGTGTGGTTACTCTTTGCTTTCTCAAACATATTTTATTTTAAAATGTGGCCCTGACAATTAAAAAAAA